ATTAACCACTCCCTCCTTCCTTTGACTTCTCAAATGTCTGGTCTGTAACTTATCTTTTTCTCTCTTTTTAAAAAATTCCTTTTTTGTTATAAACTTAATAGCTATCAACAAAGATGAACACTTTAGTATATGAAGAGAAATAAAGTGATTGTGAATGAAACTGTGAACTTCTGCCATATATAATTTGTTTAGATTAAATTGTAAGCTCCTTGAGGGCAGGGATTGGTTTTTGTCTCTTTTCATATCTCCAGTGCTTAGCACAGTATCTAGCACATAGTAATTATTAATAAATATTTAATAAAAATATTGATTAATAGATTTTTCTACTATGTGTAGCTTTTTTTATGTATATTACTGAAACCCAATAGGCCATTTCCAGCACTGTCTTGTCTGTAATCCCTTCTGAACTTCTTTCTAAAATTTATTTTTAAATGATTAACACTGACTCTTCATTTCTCACTTTTTACTATCATTATCGCTGCTTCCCCCACAGCTCTCCTCCTCCACATTAAATCCTTCCCTTGAGTAGTCACAAAAAATAAATTCACAAATTGACTGAATCTGAAAATGTGTCTCTTTCTGTACCGCTAGTTTATCATCTGCCAAAAGGTGGGAGAAGCATGGCTCATCAGTACTTTTCTGGATTCTTAACTGATTGTTACATTAATCATAGTTCTAAATTCTTTCAGAGTTTTTCTTCATAATGTTGTAGGTCATACAAATTTTTCTCCTGGTTCTGCTCATTTCACTCTGCATCAGTTCATATAAGCTCATTACATTCATGTATTATATACTCAGGCATTATGAAATTGATGTGTACCTACTTTATTTCCAATTCTTTGCTACAGAAAAAAGTAATTGCTATGAACAATTTTGTACGAGTCTTGGTCCTCTTTTTTAATATCCTAGCCTAGAAGTGGTATGATGGGAGCAATATACTAATACTTTTCCTCCGTGAAAATTTAGGCCAGTTTTATTTAAAAAGATTGAAAACATCCTCAAGAACTGATTGACTCAGGGTACTAAAGAAAAGTTCAGGTTCTTGATATCACTTCTGGCTCTAGTGAGTACAAAAGAGCCACTGGGAACTCTGGCATCGGTTATTATTATTATTATTGTATTTTTTTTTAGGCAATTGGGGTTAAGTGACTTGCCCAGGGTCACACAGCTAGTAAGTGTCATGTGTTTGGTCTGAGGCCAGATTTGAACTCAGATCCTCCTGACTTCAGGGCCAGTGCTCTATCTACTGTCTGGCATCTGTCAATGCTTGGCTAATGGACCACAAATGGACAAGTCGAGCAGGAGAGATTTGTTCAACATGTTTGAGTCAACATGGGATGTCCTCTGTGTATGTTCTTGTTGAATATTCTAATCTTCTTGTGGCTAAGAAAAAAAAAAATCTCCTTTTACTAAGCATTAAGTAACCTATGAGTATCTTATTTTGTTTCGGTATTAAATAAAAATTACCAGGGGCCTGGACTGAGTCACTACCAGTCTAGAACAAGTAGTGTTTGCTGTGTATTCACAGTTTAGTGAATTTTGGGGTCTTTTTCCAAGTACTTTCCAGAATGTTATAGCTTCACCAGCAGTGCATTAATGAGCCTGTCCTCCTACCACCTCTCTAGCAATTGTCATTTTACTATTTTTGTCATCTTTGAAGATTTGGTAGGTATAAGTGGAATCTCAGAGTTGTTTTAATGATCATTTCTCTTGTTATTAGTCATTTGGAATATTTTTATGTGGCTGTTGATAATTTCCTTCTTTTGAGAATGTTCTGTTCATATCTTTTGATCATTTATTTATTGAGCAATGGCTCTTGCTCATATATATATATATATATATATATATATATATATATACAGATATATACAGTGTGTGTGTGTGTGTGCCTCTATATTGTGTGTGCCAGACTTCTATTAGAGAAGTTTATTGCAAAGATTTTTTTCCCAGTTTAAAAAAAATCTTTGTGGCAAGTTTCTCAGATAAAGGTCTCATTTCTCAAATATATAGGGGACTGAGCCAAATTTACAGGAAGAAGAACCATTCCCTATTTGACAAATGGTCAAATGTGAACCGACAGTTTTCAGGGGAAGAAATCAAAGCTATCAATAGTCACATGAAAAAAATTATCTAAATCACTAATAACTACGGAAATGAAAATGAAAGCTATTCCTACTATCTCATGCCCATCAGATTAGCTAAGAAAAGGAAAATGATAAATGAGGGAGGGGATTTGGGAAAATAGGTACACCATTGGTGGAGCTGTGTACTGGTCCAATTACTCTGGAGAACAGTTTGGAACTATGCCCAAAGGGCTACAAAACTGTTCAAACCCTTTCATTCAACAATATTGCTGCTAGGTCCATATCCCAAAGAAATCAAAGAAAAGAAAAGAACCTATATGTACAAAAATATTTATGGCAGCTCTTTTTGTGATGACAAAGATTTAGAAACTAATTGGAAACTCCATCAATTGTGGGGTGGCTGAATAAGTTATAGTATATGAATATGATGGAATACTACTGTAATGTAAGAAATTATGAAGGTGATGGTTTCAGAGGAACCTGGGAAGATTTATATGGACTAATGAAAAGCAAAGTGAGCAGAAACAGAATAACTTACACAATAATAGCAATATTGTAAAGATAGTCAATTGTCAAAGATTAGTAGCTCTGATCAGTGCAATGAACCACCATACTTCCAAAAGACTCATGATGAAAAATGCTATCCTCCTCCAGATGGAGAAGTGATGGGCTTAGAGTGCAGATTGAAGCATATTTTTTCATTTTCTTTTTTTTTTTCATAACATGGCTAATGCAAGAATATATTTTGTATGACTTTATACGAGTAATGAGTATTGTGGTTGGGGGAGGGGTTGGAGGGAGGGAGAGAATTTGGAACTAGTGTTTACTAGTTCCTTCTTCAGATACTGAGGAGAGAGGCTTTTTGTGTAATCTATAAGGCCTTGGCTTCTTGCATTTCTTCTTACTGAACCATGTAACCCGTGAAACAAAGAATATAATATATGCGTACATATAGATCACATAGTACATAGTACAGTAAAAAGCAAGTGTCCAGTGATAGTTGACACTAAGCGCTATAAGAGTCCAGAGAAAGAAAAGGTCATGATGACCTGGGAGGGGGTCAAGAAAAATGGTCAAGGTAGGAGGTAGGAGGTAGGCCCTGAAATTTAGTTTATACATGGATTGCACCTGAAAAAGGTTATAGTATCATGGGGAGGGATAGGTGTAATAAACAAGAGGTGTATTGGGGAAGTAATTACGATTAATAGTGATCAGTCCAGACTTCCTTTCGTATGAATAATTTTTCTTTGTGAGGTCCCATAGAAATGTACAAGTGGTTAGGTAGCACAGTAGATAGAACATTGGGCCTGAAGTCAAGAAGACTCATCCTCATTAAGTTCAAATCTGGCCTCAGACACTTATTAGTTGTGTGAACCTGGGCAAGTCACTTAACCCCATTTGCCTTGGTTTCCTCATCTGTAAAATGATCTGAAGAAGTGTGATAATTGAAAAACCCCAAAAGACAGAGTTTCTGGGTAATTAATAATCAATTTATTAATTCAGGGTGGATTTGTTCTGTGAAGGTTGGATTCAGTCAAAGGGCCACACTTGAGGACCTAGAGGGCCACACATGGCCTCAAGGCTGCAGGTTCCCCACCTCTGAAGTAGGCTATCTAATAATCAATAAATTGATGGTCAGTGATTTTTCTCAGCAGCCAAAGACCCCCGGTGGAGAAGCTGAATGTTAGGGAATGCTCCTGACAAGTGAAAATCAACACTGATTGGTAGACATTTAATGAAGAGGGCTAGAAGTCTTTAGCTCCTCTTGCTGAGAACGCTACTTGATTGTAAGACTCAGCTATCTCCAGCAATCTAGACAGGGAAATCATCTCTGTCCAGACCACTCTGATTAGTTTTTTCCTTCATGAACTGGACCACTTTAAATTCTAATGGAGGAGTACAAGGACAAGGATTCATTATAATCTGGTTAAGAACTCACCTAGACTGGATTCTGTTTACACTCTAGAGAAAATGAGGTCTCCCAATTGGGTGAGGTCCTGCCCAAGATTGAAGAACATGTACCTTGAAGATTAGGACAATCTCATCCATCAACCATGTCCTTCAGAGATTGACTTTTTACAGGGGCTGGGCCTGAAACGAGGAAACTAAGGAGAAAAATCTGGATCCCAAATTAACAATTGGTTACTAATATAATAGTAAAATAATCATTTCTCTCAGAAGGAAATGCAAACCACTCCAGTGTCTTTGTCAAGGAAACCCCAAATGGAGTCACAAACAGTCAGACATGACTGAAGTACTCAATGACAACAGAAATGTACACTATGTGATGAGCTGTCAGCAATTAAAATTGAGTATGAGAAAGTCCTGTGAGTGCAAGATTTGAGACACTATGAAAGGGAAAATAGAAGTTGGCATGGTAAGTTTTGGGGGGATTGTGTGTGACCTGGACCTTTGATTTCATTGGTGCAGGGAACTCCTTGTGTGGGAACTCCCACCATCAATTCAGATCAGCAACTTGTCTGTAACTTACAGTCTTAGACATTTGTCTGGGGATACTGAAAGTTTACGTGACTTGCTTGTGGCCAAACAGCTAGTAAGGTCTGAGGAAAGATTTGAACCCAAGTGTTTCCATCATCAGTATTATACCCACCCTTTTTCTCTGAGGTATGATACTTAAAATATAAAATGTACTTATATTTTGCAAAGCCTTACTTCTCACATTTTCTCATGTTTCATTCCAATTGTACTGGATGTTTAATTCAACACAATGATAGGAAATGAGGCATGATTCTTTCCCTTTCCTGAGTAAACACTCTTTTCAGATAAAAGGAATCCCTTTTAGTCTCCTACCCATTTATTGTGCAGTCAGGTTCTCTTTATTTGTTGTTTTTTGCTTTTTAATTACTGCACTTAGAACATGCGATTCTATATCTTGTTTTCAATCTCATGCTACAGGTACCATCAAGAGAGCTGTTTAACAATGCCCAGTGCCTCAACTCTGGGTCATGGCTCTGAGCTGCCCAATGGAGACCAGAATGCCTTTCGAGCCTTGTCCATCCCCTCCGAGAGGAGTTATTTATCTACTGTATCCAATGGCATCTCAGGCAATAGCCTCTCATCGATGACTAATAGAACAGAAAGTATCCTGTCCTACACAGCAAACATGAAAGAATTCCAGACACCATCAGATCAGAAAAACTCTCAGAGTGAAGTCCAATTCAAATTCAGTGGGAATGGAAGTGACATCTACTCTGGAAATGTTACCAGTGGTGTTATTTTACCTGACAACCCAAACCTGGAGAAAAAGGAGTCTGAGCTTCACCTGTATATTATTTCTACTACTTCACCCATGTTTCTACACTTAAAAAGTTCATGGAATAATTATATGATAGTAAGTGCTCTCTTCTATGCTTCCCTGCCTCTCCAGTATGCTGGTATCAGGACAATAAAGCAAATTGTCAATTTGGGCGTCGTACTGCTGATAGTGCTAAGAACTACCAAAAGGCTCATCTGCCAGAAAAAAATAGGAAAGCTTTTGAATAGTTAATACCAAAGGCTACAAATAATTCTGATTTTTCTCTGACAATGCAGTTAAAATATTTTATCTATTTGAAATCCCTCTGTAGAAGGGGTTAACCTGTTTTTGGTATTTGGCAGTCTGAACCCCTTCTCAGAATAAATGCATAAAGTACATAGGATTACAAAGGGAACCAATTCTACTGAAAAATAGTTATCAAAAATATGTGTATATATATATGCACACAAATACACACACACACACACACACACACAAATTCACAGACACCTTCCTTAATCGAGCCAGGGGACCATGAACCCCTTGGTTAAAAGTGCTCCCATGACATTAATACATAAACTGCACCTGAAAAAAGTTCTAGAAGTATGGGGAGAGAGAGGTATTATAAACAAGAGATGTACTGGGGAAATTACTATTAACAGTGATCAGTACTGACTTCCTTTTGTATAAATAATTTTTCTTTGTGGGACCCCATAGAATTTAAGCCCATTTGTCTATATGTTAAAAAAAATACTTATTTGTTGTTGTTCAGTCATGTCTGACTATGACCTTATTTGGGGTTTTCTTGGCAGAGATACTGGAGTGGTTTGCTATTTCCCTCTCCAGATCATTTTACAGATGAGGCAACTGAGGCAAACAAGATTAAGTGACTTTCCCAGGATCACACAGCTAATAAGTGTCTGAGGCCAGATTTGAACACAAGATGAGCCTTCCTGACTCCAGGCCTGGGTACTCCATCCACTGTGCCACCTAGCTGCCCCAAAGACGGCCCTAAATATGTCCACAGAAAAACCTGACTTAGCAACACATAAATTGGATGAATGATTTTCAGATTCTGAACTTTAGAATGTTTCTGGGCACAGATATAGTGGAAACAATTTGAGAAAGCTTTCCCCCTACACTATCACTTCTTGAGCTCCCTCAAGGCTTAGCTTATGGATAACTGCTTATCTGGATCCTCCCAGTTGTTCATACTTTCTCTTCTCCCCTAATTACTCTGGATTTGCATTTGTTTTATCTTTATTTAGCTCTACTTTTTCCTTTGTATCTGCAGTCCATAACATGGTCTTTAGCACATAGTGGAGGCCCCTAAAATGGAGTGATATATGTATATATTACATATACATATATATTATATGTATGTGTATATGTGTATACCCTTTTAAAATTCAGAAATTTAAAATTCAGAAATTCAATGAGATGTAAGTGTGTTGAGGTTGAGCCCATTTCATGTGGAAACAGATGGATTGTTCCACACCTTGTACAAGAAATAAGGATTTGAATTTATGTTTGCATATAAAAAGGAAGCAGAATTCCCCCCTTCCAAGATTACTCCCATTCCTTTTCCCCAGGTACTCATTTCCATAGATGAACAGTAACATCTTAGATTTAAAAACAAAACAAAACAAAACTTGGGAGATCCTCAAACTCCAGAGATGCATGGTAATTATTGGGTAAATGACCATTATAGGCCCAGCCTGCAGAGATGAAGATTTTGGAAATATACTGGATTGTCATCATAAGTTAGGGTGAGGTCTTTCTCGTTGAGGTTCTTTCTACTCCTGAACTGAGAAGAGTGGTCAAAAGGTTAAAGTTAACCCCTGCTCTCATGCCTCCTGCCTAAGAGATGACAAGTATCAGGGCATGAATCCTGAGAATGTATGTATAATTGGAAAAGCTTCTACTAGTCCTGGGATAAGAGTCCCTACTCTTCCTTGGAAGAGTGAGGCTGAACTTGAAGTTGAAGTTCTAGAGAACAGAGCTACCATGGAGGAACAAGCCAAGGAAGAAAGTAATGCCCAAGGTTCATGGGAAAGATATTTTGTTAACTACTGTTCTTGCTACGCCCTTTGAGTAAATGTGTTTCCTAAGAGCTAATTGAGTTTACTGACTGATTATTAATGGAAAACACAATGGTTGGGGCTTATGGATTATAGTTTTAAAAGAGCAGCGTCATAAATATACCCTTGAACCCTGATTGTAGTAATCATTCTGGAGACTCAACTGCTGAATGTGGGGAAACTGTAAGCCAGAGGGAGTTCTATAGTATGGGTCCTCTGTACAGCATGTATTTAGGTGCCCTATGCATTTATAGAGACCCATTGGAGAGATTCTTCATCTTGGGTTCTCCTTCTTGGATATTCTAGTTTTACAGAGAAAACTTAGCATATATTTTAATTTGTTTTAGACTATAATTAGACAATTAGTTTTCTGATATTACTTTTGCATGGCTGAATGTTTAAATACTGGTATCTGTTGTATTACTGCATTCATTACAAGTCTGGAGGCAATGTGCTTGTGAATGTGTTGTATCTCCCTAATATAGATGTTGCATCCCTAGAACACGGGTGTCTTGTTATGTATCTTGAGTTACACAGAAGACTCCTATGTAAAGGTGTGATATTTATGAATTAAGAAATAAGAATATTGGGACAGCTAGGCGGCACAATGGATAGAGCTCCAGCCTTGGAGTCAGGAGGATCCAAGTTCAAATTTGGCCTCAGACACTTGGCACTGGGTAAGTCACTTAACCCCGACTGCCTCACCAAAAAAGCAAAAAAAAAAAAAAGGAAAAAAAGGAAAAAAAAAAGAAAGAAAAAGAATTCCCCCAGGAGGTATGAAAATGCTCTTTGAATGATATAAGGGGAAATATCAAACTTTGTCTGTTTTCTTTAAATTCCCTAAGGATGTGAATCCTAAAATTCTTGGTAAGACAGAACTTTCAGAAGGTGCTTGGAAATGGATTCCTAGGCATCTCACAGAAGACAAAAGGGTACTGCATCGGGTTAAAACTCTGTTAACCATTGAGGACACATCTGGAGACAGATAACTGTCCATGGCTAACCTGGAAGAAAAAGCCCTTTGCAGAACTGGGAATGGATACAGATCACCACCATTGTAGGTCACCACGGTTCACAATATACTGCATACATTGGAACTGTGGACTTAAGTTAAAACTTTTCTCAAGACAAGACCCATGTCCCTCTGGGGAAAACCATGAAATGTCTGGGTAAGAAATGTGACCAAAGTATTATGTCATTGATGTATACTTTCCACAGTGTCTCACTTCCACCAAATTCTGGTTCTGGTTGTCACAGAGAGGTAGCACAGTGAATAGAGCACTGGATCTGGAGTCCAGATCCTGCCACAGAGACTTAGCTGTGTTTGGGCAAGTCACTTAACCGTTTCCTGCTGCAGTTTTTTCATCTGTAAAATGGGGATATTAATAATGGGGATGATAACTCCCAGAGATGTTGGGGCTATAAAATATTTGTAAAACACTTTTAAAACCATAAAGCACTATGTAAGTGCAATTATCATTATCATTATTACTACAAGCATTCTTGCCATATGACTTCATGTTTCAGTTGTCAAACACTATGAAATTCCAAAAGCAGACAGGACCATTCACTGGAAGAAGCCAGGGGTGAAAGAATAACTGAAATTTCTTATTACAAGTAACTTACATTCTTATGTGGGAGAAAGCAAGTGTCATTTATCTGTTCTTCATCATTGTCATCTACCTATCAATCATCTATCATCTCTCTCTATTTATGTACATATATATCTATATTTTATCTATTATCTATTTATTTATTATCCAACTATCATCGATCTATACTTACCTATGTGTGCATACGAAATAAATGTAAAGAGAATAGATACCAATAAATGCAAAGCTGTTAAATATAAGGTAGATTGCATTAACAGCCAAAAGAAGGCAGAGAGGTTTCATGTAGAAGGGGTTAGTTGAACTGTATCTTGAAGGAAGAAAGATTCTGTGAGGCAGAGGTGAGGAAGGAGGCATTTAAGGCATGTGCGAGGGGGAGGACTATGGAACAGAGCTACAAAGGTGAGGGTGGAGACCTATTGTTGATAGCCTTGAATGTTGTGCCAAGGAATATGTATTTTCTTTGATGGGTAGTAAAGAGCGACTGAAAATTTTTAAGCAAGAGAACTATGGGGTCCGACCTGTGCTTCAGAAAGATTATTTGGATTGGAATGGAAAGGGAGAGGAGTTGGGGCCAATGAGAGAAATTCTGGAAAAATTTATCTTCGGAAATCTTTTAAAGTTGGGTAGATTCTCATCTATTAGGGATAGGAAATCAACTCTGAAAATTATCATTCCATAATAAAAAGTTTATTATTAAACAACACTATTATAATAAAATAACATAAAATACAATGAATAATTAGACAATGAGTTTTTATTAAATTATTATTAATAATGAAATAACATGTTAAGAAATTTATTATTAAATAATACGATACTCTTATGATAATATATTATATAATAATATATGACAATGAACTAATAAATAATGATAAATAATAGTTTATTATTAGATGATTAGTAACAATTAATGAACAAAATGAAATAACATAAGTTTATTGTTAAATATGTCCTAACTCTACTTTTTCCCCCCTGTTCTAGCAAGCTACCCTCTTGCAAGATCCACTATATGCTAGCAAGTTCAATTCTACAGCTGGATGTCAGAAGCCATATAGGTATGGCTGTAATAACTCTGGTATTAGGTTAAGACTTTTTTTACTAATGCAAGAAATCTGTGTGTACAATAGATATGATGTCCTTTTTCTTATACTGTCCTAGCCCATCAGCATGTGCTGAGCTAAGGGTTCTTTACTACCAGTGAATTTAGAAGCAGAGGTAGAATGGAATTAGTTGAAGACTTTCTATACCTCCATTCTGGATCTTTTCAGAAATGACTTCATCTTTACGGCAATACTCGCTGCCTGAAATAGGGTTTATGAAAAATATGATTGCCTCATGTTTCATGTGAGATTCCTAAAGTCCAAATTTCAATTGAGATTCAGAGTTAGATGAGACTTTCAGAGGTTGTCTGATCACTTTACCGATGAGGAAGTTGAGTCCCAGGGAAGTTGTCACAAGGTCATGTAGGTAGTAAATGAAGAGTTGAGATCTGGATCCTAGAACTAATCCCAAAAGATAGCTATAGTAGAATTCTTGAAGTTTTAGGTCATAGAATCCCTTGATGTTCTTAAAAATGATCGAGGACCCTAAAGAGCTTTTGTTTATGTGGGCTATATTTATTAGTACCATGTTAGAAATGAAAAAAACCCTTGTATTATAATGAAAATATTTTGACTTTTGTGGATCCCTTGAAGGAGTCTTGGGTTACTTCCAGGAGTCCCCAGACCACACTGTGAGAACTACTAATATATGGTACATTGAGATTTGGTTCAAATCTTGGTTTTGATGCTCGTTGGCCATTTAACCATTGGTCAATTATTTCACATCTATGAATCTCAATTTCTTTATTTGTAAAATGGGCACAATTAGACTTATACCATCTTTTACAGAGAGTCATTATGAGGAAAATGTTCTATGTACCTTAAAGTACTCTGAGTTATTATTGGGTTTTTTTTGGGGGGGGGGTTGGCAGTGGGATTAAGTGACTTGCCCAGGGTCACACAGCTAGTAAGTGTCAAGTGTCTGAGGCTGGATCTGAACTCAGGTCCTCCTGACTCCAGGGCCGGTGCTCTATCCACAAGTTATTATTGTTATTAACAAAACTGCAGGTGACACATACGACCATGGAAAGATGCATAGTATCTGTATAGGGGACTTTGCACTTAATAAATAGATATACCTTGGTGGCACAGGTGGACCTGGGAATCAAGAAGACCTGAGTTCAAATCCAGTCTCAGCCACTTATTAACTGTATGACCCCATATGACTTAAATCTGTCTCTGCCTCAGTTTCCTCATCTGTAAAATAGAAATAATATTAGCACCTACCTCTCATGATTGTTGTGAGGACAAAATGAGATATTCATAAAGTACTTTGCAAACTTTAAAGCACTATATTATATTATTATTATTATTATATGCTTTTTTAATTCATTCATTCACATTACCAATATAATATAAGAAGTGTTCAGGTTATAAAAGAGAAAAAGGATGTGTATGTCTAGATAGGGAGGAGGATTTGTCATGTTATAAAAGCCAACAGATTGACAGCCTACGAGTTGAACTATAGCCACAAGCTATTAGAAGAACTGTAGGAGAGGGGCCAATACACGTCATATAGACTGGAATCACAGAATGCAAAGAGTGTGTATGTTGCAATCTCCATCACTGCTGGGAGTACCAGCTGAGAAGATTAGGCATACATTAAAGTTAGAGTCATAACTGGAAAAGTTTTCACTGGGGACAAAAACAATTAGATAGGATTGTATTTACGATAATATATAATATGTATTATATATTATAATAATTATGATATATTAGTAATATGTAATAATTTGCTAATAATAATAGCAAATATTTATAAAGCACTTGCTATGTGCCAGGTACTGTGCTAAGCGCTTATCTCATTTGAGCCTCACAACAACCCTGGGAGGTAGATGCTATTATTATTTCCATTTTACACATGACGAAACTGAGGCAAACAGAGATTTAAGTGACTTGCCTAGGGTCACACAGCTAGAAAGTTTCTGAGGTTGGATTTGAACTTGGGTCTTTCTGACTCTAGGTCCAGCACTAGATTCGCTGCATCACCTTAACAATTCAAACAATTATTTTAATTTATTGTTAATTATAAATTGACTAAATAGAATGGGTGGAAATGGGGCTGTGATGCAGAAGACAATTCAATTTTGACTGGGAAAGAGGACAGTTTACCCCTCACCCTCACAGGTCAGGTCACCTGAAAGAGGTGCTATAATAATAGGGCCCTCCAGCATCTTTCAAATTTGGGGGGCCTGAATAACTCCTGAGTAGCATGTCGTCCTCATTACTCTACATGACAGAATCTATCTCTAAATAGTGGTAGAGACCCCATTCCTTTCCTTGTAAGGTTCTCGCCAGGCTTCAGGCCTTGTAGTCAGAGTGCTCAACTTGGAGTCTGTGCCTCAGTTTCCTCATCTGTAAAATGGGAATAATAATAGCATCTCCCTTCCTGGGTTCTAGTGAGAATAAAATGAGATGATATTTGTATGGTGCTTTGCAAAGGTGAAAGTGTTATGTAAATACTAGCTATTATTATCGACTATGAGAGGCCTCTCTCAATTCAGGGGCATGGCAGGAATGAGTCAATCCCTAGGTCCTTCTAGTAGTTATCTTCTAAGCAACTAGAAGTGATATCTAGATCTTCAGTATCTGAGAATCTCTTTAATGAGGAATTCTTTCTGCCAGCACTGGGGGTAGGAGTGAAATAACCAGGATATAAAGGTCTGGGTCCATATGTGTAGTGTTAAGTACAACAGAGGTCATTGAAATACAGGATGAATGTCTGTCAATGCTGGGAAGTTGTTGTCACTATGAAATAAATTATTATTATATGATTATATTAATAACCAATTATTGATTTGGGATCCTGGCTTTTCTCCTCAATTTCCTCATAAAGTCCCAACTTTTGTTAAAGTCAGTCTCTGAAGGACGTGACTAATTGATAAGATTGTTCCTAGCCCTCCAGGAACATGCTCTTCAGTCTTGGGTGGGGAGACCTTACTTCTGTTTAGAGTAAAACAGAATCCAGTCTTCTTGAATACTTGACCTGGGGAAAGGAGCCCTGTCCTTAAACCCCTCCATTAGAGTTTAGGGTGATCCTGCTCATGAAGGAGAAAACCAGCCAGAGGGGTCTGGATGGAAATGGATTCCCCTGTCCAGATTGCTGGAGGTGGCTGAGTCTCATGATCAATCACCTTTCTCAGTTGGGGAAGTTGAAGACTCCTAGCCCACCTCCTCATTAAGTGTCCACCAATCAGGACTGATTTTCAGTTGTCAAGGGAATTCGCTTTCAGAAGGGTTATTTAAAGCTTTCAGGATCTCCATTTGGTTACCAAGAGAAACCACTGACCATCAACTTACTGATTATCATTTAGCCTAATTAATTAATTGATTATTGATTAACCAGAAACTCTGTCTCTTGGGGTTTTTCATTCATTTCAACTATGAGGTTTACTCTCTTGATGATGAGGAAGAGCCCTTTAGCTTGGTGGACCAGCTTCTTTGAGGAATCTATCTGTTCAAAGACTCTAGGGTTTAGCCATGTCTGAAACCATGACACCTCTGATTCTGTATGGACTTGGAGTCGGGAAGACCTAAATTTTAATTCTGTTTTTGATATTTACTAGCTGTGTGATCCTAGGCAAGGTACTTTCTTCATATGTAAAATGGTGATAAATAATAGTATCCTCTTCACAGAGTAGTTATTCAGATTAACTGACACAAAATATGTAAAGCATTTTGCAAACCTTAATCAATGTTAGCCTTTATTGTTTGTTTGCCTCTTATAAGCCTCTAGCTGCTTGTAATGGTGTCTCTTGCAGGTTCTCCTGTAACCTCCCATCCCCCAAGGTAGTTATCCATAGCTGGCTTGGTAATGTGAGGCTGTTCTAGTACAAATGCAATCCCACTTATCCCAGCTTCTCCTTGATGGAAGGTGGAATAGCCCATCCCAACACCACCAGACCTCCTCCAGCCAGGAGTGTCTTTCCTGTTTGGGTCATATGTAGTTTCACCTCTATGTAGGCTTCCTTTTCCTTCTGTTGGGTCTGTTCAGGTCATAGTATCTCATCCTTGTTGTCTGAGTCAGAGCTTCTGAGACAAGGTACCTGACTGCAGCAGCCTGGAATGTACACATTGGAAAAATTAAACTGGCTTGAGCTGGGGAAGAAATGGGGGAGGAAGTGCCCTCTTTATTTGCTTCTAGGTAAATTTTCTGGTGTTTTGCATTGTTCTACATTCTTACGGTCTGACTGGACACTGTGTGGTGTGTGTGTGTGTGTGTGTGTGTGTGTGTGTGTGTGTGTGTGTGTGTATATGTGTGTGAATAAACTCTTCCAAGGGGGAGGTACCAAGCCTCAAAACTGTCTCCATTGCTAGCAAGGAAACTTTTCCTTATTGGAATTATTTTCTACTACTGATAGCTTCCTGGGGAAAAATAAATGCACAGGGCCAATGTACAGAAGGGGTAAGATAACTTTTATTGCCCAGTCAGAGTCATCACTTCCAGTAGGAATGACTTTGAACATTGAGGATGTGTTAACAAGAGGGCACTGATTAATCACTGCTTTACTTCTCTAAAGGTAGTTTCTGCCAAAAGAATCCATTAAAACACTTTGGGGTCTTGAGTTCTTGAAAGCATTTTTGATTCAGTGAAGAGAGCACAGGTTCTTAAAACACTATATCAATGGGAACATTTATTTGTTTGCCTTCTATAAGCTTCTAGCTTCTTCTATTGGTTAATCAGAGGATGTGGGTTCATAACTCATAATTGACCCTGACTGCCTGTGTGACTTTCAGAAAATCAATTAATCCCTCTCAATCTGTTTCCTCACTTGTAAAAGGAGTTGGTTAGACTAGATACCTCTAAGGTCCTTTCCAATTCTATCCATAAGCTGATAAATCCAGGGACAGGGTGGTATCCATTATTAATCAAGCTTGAGTGGGATTATAGGGACATCAGCTCCTGTTGACATCAGCTCCTGTTGGACTGGTTTTTTGTTCAAAAAGTTGACTGAGACCCTCAAATCCGCCAAGGCCTAGATTTAGAACACCCAACCTGGCAGGTCCTTGCCAAGGCATAGGAACAGGTATCACGATAAACATCAGTCCCGAGTTGCTGGGGGATAGTATGGCTCAGGTTTCCTCGATATAGAATTCTTACTTCAGACAGAGAATCCTTGAGCTGGAAGGGGCACCAGAAGTCCTGGTCCTACCAACATGTGAGCAAGAATCTTTCCTCAAACATTACCACTAGATGGTCATCTAACTTCTTTTTGAAGAATCCATTGAGAATGGCAGCTAGGTGGCACAGTGAATAAAGCACTGGGTCTGGAGTCAGGAGGACCTGAGCTCAAATCTGGCCCCAGACACTTACTAGCTGTGTGACCCTGGACAAGTCACTTAACCCCAGTTGCCTCCAAAAAAAAAAAAAGAATCCATTGAGACAGTCCTTTCTAATTTTGGGCAACTCCATTTGTTACATAATTCTTTCTCCTATCAAGCTGTGAATCGCCACTCTACAGTTTCTGCTTCTTGTTTCTAGTCCTGAGATTAAGCAAGATGTCTGTGTTAGCCCTTTAGATACTTAGAAGCAGTTATTCTGCCTTGACTGAGTCTTCACTCTTTGTTTTTCTTTTTTCTCCTACTTAACTTTTAAAAGGTCATGTTTGTTTTTCCTTAGCACTCATTGTGAGATTCAACTTATTCTGGTCTTTATGGTTCTGACATTATTGTGATAGGACCATGCTCCCTATTTATATGCATCCTCAGCTATATTCCTTTGGCACATGCATTTTTAAAATGAGTTGGTGAGAAAATTCTCGAGGGAGAGCAGATAGGTGGAACAGTGGATAGAGTGTTGGGTCTGGAGTCAGGAAGACCTGAGTTCAAATCAGGCTTCTTATTAGCTATGTGACCCTGGGCAAGTCACTTAACCCTGTATGCCTTAGATTCCTCATCTGTAAAATTATCCGGAGAAGAAAATGGCAAACCACTCCAGTATCTTTGCCAAGAAAACCCCAAATAAGGTCATGGAGAGTCCCACATTACTGAAATGACTAAACAACAATTTAAATTCCCCTCCCCTGCCCCTACCTTGCCACACGCATTTTCTGTCCTAATCATTTATGATTGTGTTGTCAGAATTTTGAGAACATCCCATCCATCTTGATCCAATTTCCCCTTACGAAGTCTACTTACTTATCCTTTTCAGCTATTGGTCAGACACTTTTGAATGGCACCTTAGCAGTCATGCTGCCTACATAATATACTAAACCTACATAATACACTAAACCTCTTCAGTTGTCAGTTTCTGGAAAGGTGATGGAACTGAGTCTTCAGGGACCAAGCCTATCTCCTCCCCTGGGGCCAGTGCAGGGCAAAACCTTTCCTTTCTTTTTCCTCTCTTTTGAGACTGGTAGGTGAAAACTGCTTATCCTCAGGCACCTACTTCAAAGTGACCTGCAGATGAACAAATGATTCAATCCTAAAGTAGAAAGAAAAGCCCCAGGTTCTACTTAAGATCCTGCCTATTGTAAGGTTTATCAAATTACTAATTAAACAGTGCTTTATGTCCTCAGATCAGTTCCTAGATCTGGCTGGTAGAACAGAATTGATTCTCCTGATCAATTAAAAAAAAGTTCCCATATAAATTTCAGCCAGCCACTGAATGTTTCCTTACTCTTTCTGCCCATCCCTCACTTTCCACCATTATACAAACAGGAAACATACAAATTGGATGGTCAAGCTCTTATATAATGACAAGCAAAATCAGAATAACTTAAAGCATAACAAAGAAACAAATAATAAATGGATGCCAGAAGTGACTGGTCATGGGGAAATGGGGGACTTGGAGACAGAAAACCTTTCTGGAGCATCTTTTGGTCTTAAAGGGACCCAATACTCTTAGTCTGAATTCTCTGTCCATACAGCAGAGGCTTTCTATGAGACCAGCCTGCTACACTAAGTCCAAGGTCTCATGAAACCCACCACAAAGCTTCGGCAGGAACCCAATGGTCATCTCTTCTCTTGCCTCTCTCCTAGCCTTGCTTCCTCTTTCTGTATCTCTTGACACAGCTCAGTTCAAAGGCTTCCTTTGGACCAGTGTAAATCCTTCCTAGTCTGAAAATTTCATGATGCATAAGCTGAGAAAACTGCTTTTTGAAGAGTATAAATTCAAAGATCCTTAACTAGCTTCTGGGTGCCTCTTTTTTGCCTAACAAAAGAGTTGATTCTTTTGGAACCGGGATTATGAATAGATGTTAAGTGGTTTCATGGATACCGGGACTGCCCCTATGACATTCTGAACTCTCTGGAATTTGTTTTTGTTCTCCCTGTAGGTCTGAAGAGATGATTAAACTATACACACAACTGAAATCTGAACTCTTTCTTAAAGACAACACATTAGGACGGATAGCTTGCTTAATTGCAGAACTTAAAGTAGCAGCCCAGAGAAACTTCATTTTCAAAAAACTTTTCTGGAAAGTAAGTGATTTTTTAAAAAAATCTTTAAAAAGTATTCATAAAATGCAGAACTTGGATAGAGCCTTCATAAATATATAATGGTAATCTGAAATATGTGAATAAACATTTTCTGCTTTTTAGCACTACATTTTAAAAATAAATTTTATTGATACCTTCTTTTTACATTGTCTAAATCTCCTCATGTATCTTCCCCTTCCTCCTCCCAGAAAGCCATCCCTTTAAAAAGGGGAGGGGGATTATTTTTAAAAGAAAAAAGAAAGAAGAAGGGGGGAAACATAGGAAAGTAGATCAATACGTAGAAAAATCTGACAATATATGCAATGTTCCACACCATGGATGCCCCCCTCCCCTCACCTCAGCAAAGGTGTGGTGGAGGTACTTTCTCATATCTCTTCTTTAAGGATTTCCTTTTTTTTTTGTAATTTTGCAACATTCTTTTTTTATTATTATTATTATTTTGCAGTTTTTGTTCTTTGCAATTACAGTGTTATAGCCATTGAGTATATTGTTTTCTTGGCTCTGCCTGCTTTCCTCTGCATTAGATTATACAAATCTTCCCATGCTTCTCTATATTTATCACATTCATCATTTCTTTCTTTTTTTTTTTTAACCTTTTTTGGTGAGGCAATCGGGGTTAAGTGACTTGCCCAGGGTCACACAGCTAGTAAGTGTCATGTGTCTGAGGCTGGATTTGAACTCAGGTTCTCCTGACTCCATGGCTGGAGCTTTTTCCACTGTACCACCTACCTGCCTCTCATTCATCACTTCTTACAACACAATGTTTTTCCATTACATTCGTTCACCACAATTTGTTTAGCCCTTCCCCAATTGATGAGTATCTATTTTACTTCCATTTTGCTACCTCAAATAGAGCTGCTATAAATACTTTGTTGTGATACATATGGAACCTTTCTTTTTATCAGTGCATATTGTCATTAATGTTTAAATATAGGTGAGTTGTTAAATTAAATGTATGGAGGTGGCTTAAAACATCAAACATATAATTAGTTATGTAATGGTAGCTTTCGACTCAATTTTAGACCAATATAGGAAGAATATTGAGAAATCCAAATGTTGCTGAAATCAAGGTCCTGGATTTGATCCCTATATAGGTCAGTTAATTTCCATTTTTTTCTAATTCAATTTCATTTTTTTGGGGGGGGTCCATATTCTCTCTGTCACCCCTCTTCATCTTTCCTTCCCTCATTAAGAAAGCAAGAAAAACAAAATCCTTTACAAATATGTATAATCAAGCAAAACAAATTCTCACAGGTCAGTTAGTTTCACTAGCCAAAGGGAACTCCTCATTGAATAACTGCTTGTTTCTGGTCACAAGGCAATGATGACTGGTTTTTCTTTACCTCTGACCTCTGCCTTGTCTTGGCATCCTTTAGTAGGAACCAGGGTCTCTTGAGTTTTTCATTTTCTTTCAGTAAGGTGTTAAAGTGCCTCTGGCCTCAGCTGTGCCGTACAGAAGCAGCTGAATACCCAGAGGCTCGGCTGGTGACAAATACAGTTCCCACAAAGGGACTGGATGGATTAGACCTCCACAGGAGAGGGAAAATAACTTAAAGTGGGTCAGCAGTATCAGTCATTCATTTATCCATCAATTTGTAACCACAAACTTGAAGAGACAGTACATTACACATTTAATAAGTTTTAAAGCCTCCCATTGTCTACTTGTCTAGCCCAAGACTGAACACCCTACTACTTTGATCAGTAGACTAATGGATAAACTAAACGATTGGTTTCTGTCTTTCAAGATTCTCATTGCTTAGGGCACTTGATACTTAATGAGAATTTGCTGAACTAGCACGGTTAAGGCTGCAGTCAATCAGATGAGTTAAAGGGGTTTCTCATCATTGCTGAGTTCAGTGGGAAAGTCTGAATCTTCCTAGTTCAGAGGGAGATTTGATAAAGCCTAGCTTGAGAGAATTGCCTTCTTGACATAGCTATTTATACTAAATTGAAATATAAAACTAGAGTCTAGGATTCTTTTTAACTGCCTTCAACATTTACTGAGCATACTACCATGTAAAATGCTCTGTAAATCTTTGTAATAGCTAACATTAGTATTGTGCCTGTTTATAGGGTTTGTCCTTTGGTTCAACTTAAACAAAAAACCTCCCCCTCCTCACCTTGGCTCATGCTATCCTCTCCACCTGGAATGCTTCTATTTCTCCCCTCCTTCACCTTCTCTGTGGTTGAATGATAAAGATTCATAAATCTTTTGGCTTCTACCAGCCAGGTGGAGTTTCCTCACTCCTTTAAGTGTCCATAACATCTCTGTTATAGTACTTAACTATATTTACCTTAAGAAACAGTGCTTTGCATACTTGCCTTAGTTAAATAGGTCAAAGAAAAGAGTATTGGGCTTGAAGTTGGGAGAAATCTTGGGTTGAAACCTCTTTCTTTCTAATATCGGTTGGGTGACCATGGGTAAATCAGTCCAACTCAGCCTTTATAAAATGGAGATTTAGTATGCAACTCACAGGATTCTTATAAGAATTAAATGAGATGAAATTTGTAAAGTCTTTAGTGAAGACTGAGGGAAAAGTATAATGACTGGATGTATGATTTCATGGATACAGGAAACTCCTGCTATCAATTGTCAGCACCCTCTTTGCAATCTGTGGACTTAGAGACTTACCTATAGCACAGAGAGATTAGGTAACTTGCTCAGGGTCACATAGTAAATCATTTATTGAGCACCTACTCCGTGCCAGGCACTATGCTAAGCACTGAGGATGCAAAGAAGGGCAAACAAACAAATGAAAAACCAGCAGTCCCTTCTCTCAAGGAGCTCAAGTCTAATGGAAAAGACTGCATGTAAACTACTATGTACTAACCAGTATCTGTATCTATCTCTCTATTGATTCATGCATCTATCTATCTATCTATCTATCTATCTATCTATCTATCTATCTATCTATCTATATCAAGATATGTTGAATATTGCTGTTTCTGTTTGTCCTTCATTCTCAAAGAAAACCACGATATCAGGGAGGTGATGCCATGACATGCAAGTGAATTGGATTTAAGTGAGGGAGGGCTATGCAAAGTCACCAGCCTCACTTTCTCCTCCAAAGCCATCTGGGTCCAGTGGCCAGATATGGATCAGGACAACTGGAGATGGCCCAGGATGCAATGGGGACCTTGGTCTTTTCAAGCTAAGGTCTTTAACAGGTCTCAATTTGACTGAGGCAGCACCCATTCGGTGATTAACGCTTAATAAGAAATGAGGCAAAGAATGGCTTCTTTAAAAAAAAATAGGAAGTGAGAAAAAAGGAGAAAGTGAGGCTGGTCACTTTGCACAGCCCTTCCTCACTTAAATCCAATTAACTTGCCCATCTTGGCATCACCTCCCTGATGTCATGGTCTTCTTTGAGAATGAAGGACAAACAGCAACCTCTGTGAGTAGAGCAGGAGCTGCCCACTAGGACCAAACTTCCAGGTGGGCAACATGGCTTCCTTCCTCCTTCCTCCTTCCTCCCTCCCTCCCTCCCTTCCTTCCTTCCTTGCTTGCTTCCTTCCTTCCTTCCTTCCTTCCTTCTCCACATAGGGCATCACACCCTTATCTGCTGGTGCTCTGCTCAAAGGGAATATGAATTTTAATCTGTGAAACTTTTTTTTTGTTTTGATTTTTTTCCTCTTAAAGACCAGCCTTAACCCCAAATCACTCTGGTTCTAGACCAAGCCCTACTTGATCACTGTTTGGGCCCTGATTGGCTCAGGATGAATGTAAATGTTGAAGATGATCTCAGAGGGAAGATACTAAGATTAACAAGGACTGGAAAAGGTATCTTGTAGAAAATAGATTTAATCAAAAGAGAAAAACAGGGAAACTATAATATGTGTCAGCAATATTATTCTATATTGTTTTAGACCATTTAAAATAACTGGACAGTATAAAATATTTGAGAGTATACCTACCAAAACAGACACAAGAACTCTACGAACATAAACATAAAACACTTTTTATACAAATAAAGTCAGATCTAAATAATTGAAGTAATATTTATTGTTCATGGATAGGTAAAACCAATATAATAAAAAAAACTCGACAATTTCACCTAACCTATTTATTCAATGCTATCCCAATCAATTACTAAAAACTATCTTGCTGAGTTAGAAAAAATAATACCAATTTCTTTTGGAAGAATAAAAGGTTAGGAACTTCAGAGAAACCAGAGGAAAAAGTTGCAAAGGAAGCAGATTCAGCTGTACCAGACCTTAAACTATATTATAAGGTGAGAACATTGTTGAAGTGCAAAGTGGATAATTTTGATTATATTAAATTAAAATTTTCCTGTATAAATAAAGTCTATAGCCAAAAATAGAAGGAATGCAGAAAATTTGGAAAAAAAACTTTCATAGACAGTCTCTCAGATAGGATCTTATTGGGTTGGAATATTGTTGCAATGTAGGAAATGATGAACTGGTTGAACTATAAACACATGGAAAAACTTGGATTTATAAATGAAGATGCTATCCATCTTCAGAGAAACAGATGGCAAGTGGAAATAAGAATAGTATGGTCTTACATATATGTGTATATATATATATATCTACATATTTATAGATATCTATGTATATGTGTCTGTACATATATATATATATACATACATATATATATATCTGTATCAATATATATTTATATCTCCATGCTTAATTGTAGCCTTCTGTAGGGCAAGGAAAGGAGAAAGAGAGGGAAAAAAATGAAGTAAAAAGTACATAGCAAAGAACAAAAGAAAACCTACAAGGAAGCAAAGAAAAGCTGGGCAGCTTTGAAAACAATGTGTGGTATTTATTATATAGGTTTTCTTGAAATGGAAATTTATTGTTTTATATTGAATCCTCTTATGTTCTGCTGTGTACGTGGCAATGTTTAATTTTTCCTTTCTCCTTTTGTATTAAAGTTTAAAATAAATTTTAAAATTTCCAAAAAAAAAAAAAGGATACTTGGATTTCCATCTTTGGTAACTTGGGAAGATAGTGGT